GGGGCGAGGAGGGAATAGGTTTTAGTTTGAGAAGAATTTTCACCGTCCCTTTTGGCACCAGAGGTTGCTTTACTGCTTTTTTCCCCCCCAAAAAAGAACAATATAGACTTGAATTTAATTACTGTTATCCTGTCCAGTCATCACTATAATGCTTTATATGGTGCTTTACCTTTCCCTTATGCTTTTTCTTTAATCCCCCAATTATGATGAACTGATAGCTAAAGGACATTGTGTGGTGGGTTGTTTTTGTTTGGGTTTTTTTTTAATAAACCTATCAAAATGCTTGGTACCTTTTCACAGTGACTGTCTATTTGGGACCCTCTGCTAAATCCCCTTTAGCTCTTCGGTTTTTTTTTTTACACAAATAAAGATCCTGCAGCTTTTAGGAGATTTTTTTTTTTTTCAATCTGAGTGTTGATGGAAAAAACTTCAGAATTATATAATCTCCCAGCAGGCTCACCTGATATGTGACCCAAAGGTAAAAACTGTCTGTTGGTCTTTAATTTCTGATACTGTAGTACTGTCTTCTTGAAATCACTAATTTCCTCTTTATGACTCAAAGGAAGGATTCTTTATTATGAAAGCTGAGTATTACATGCTGCAGTTAATATTGCTAATGCATTTTTTAAATGTTTTTGCAAGAACAAATTTGTGAATTCTGGGGACATAAGTCTAAAGCCAAAAAACGACCCCAGTACCCATTGATTAATCTTTTTTGAAAATGAGGTCCTGGCTATTCTTCCCTGGCATGTAAATTTAATACTTTACCAGGTCAGCTTGAAAAAACAAGGTTCTGCAGCCAAGAGGATACTTTTCCAAAGCGTTAGCTTTTAGCCCTGAAAAAATGTTAAGAACAATTCTGTTTAGTTGGAACATTTCTTCTGTATTTTTAGATTTTATTGAGGTAGCTTCCTCAAAGACCTGTCTCGTTTCCCTGGAGTACTGCCGTTGTCCTAAAACACCCATTGCCCTTTTTTTTTCAAAGCCAGATTAACTGTTTTGCTGATATTAATAACCTTGAAAGTAGAACAGCTATTTGTCTTTGTGTGTTGGTGGGCGCTTGAGGTGTAGTGGTAGACTATGGATGGCCATATACTTATTTGTATCTAGCTTGTGGTAGTATTTTTGGAAATGACATCTGTCTATCTTCCCATGTAACTGGAAAGAATTTTTACTTCACAAATCACAGAACCATACAAAACAAAACACAGATGTAATTTGACTGTTTACAATGTCATTGAAAATGATATCAGTAATATTTTTGGGAAACATTGTGAAGAGAGGTTGAACTTGATGTAAGAATCAAATACTGCATATGTTCCTCTTATTCCTTAGGCTCTTTCTTGAGTTCAAAGAATCTTGAATTTAGTCCTGGAAAAGCAAGCTTTCTCTTTCTGAAATGAGAGGCCACTTGTCTAGGGCTGTGTGTTAGATGTGTACTGCAAGCGTACCAAAATAGAGGTGCATTGTCTTGAATGGCGCTGCTCATGGCGTTCAAGAGGATGTACTTCTCATTGGCTCCCATACCCTTCCTCCCTGCTCCCTTTCTGATCCTGGTGTTTGTAAATAACAATCACTTGGCAAGTTCCAGATGTTGAAGTGAGTGTCTGGTGACACAAATTGGATGTGTTACCTTTAAAGTCCCTCGATACGCTCATAGGAATCCTGTGGAAAAGGTAGCTCATTGTTTTGTGTATCCTTCTGCATTCCCGTGACCTAGCACAGGTAAGATGCATTCCTTTTTCCTTATTTAATGATCAAAACATAAAGTTCACTTTTTCAACTTGCTGCAGTAAAGACATCTTGCATGCAGTGCTGTGTGTGGAAGAGTTGGAACTGGAACCGCGTCGGAGCCAGGACTAAGCGCACAGTAGAACCTCTTTGAGTTTCTAGAGATGAAGTTTCCTGTCTCCAGAGGAGGTCTGAGAAGGCAGACCCAGGCACTGGTGCTTGAAGGCATTCATGCCTCTTCTTGTTTGCCTACCTCAGAGTTTCTTGAGAAGTTTGCTTGGTTACTATAACATTACCTTTGAACTTACAATTAAATTGTTACCAATCATGATAACTTAGTATTTGTTTCTTTTCAGTTACCCATGGGTGTATAGTCTCCACAATCAAACTGTTTCTTCCAGATGGAATGGAAGCTCGATTGCGATCAGAGTAAGAATAAGTATCTATTAATGTGTAGCAAAATTAAACTACTCTATAATGAGGATTGGATGGATATTATGTTTCAAATCAACATAGGAACAGTTTCTTTTCCTGTAATAGTGCAAAGAAATAACTGAGAGCATGGATGTTTTGCAGGCATTATGAAAAAGAAATCTCATTTGCTTGTTGTTTTTAGAAATTAAGACAACTGTGAAAGTCTGACTTAACCAGAACAAAAAGTTCTGATCAAGTTGGACTTTCTGACTGGCTGTGGTTTAGTGTTCTGGGATGGTTATTATAAAGAGAAGAATATAGAAAAAAGCCAATGACCATTCTCCATCCCTCCTTTTTTTTTTTTTTTTTTTTTTTTTAAATTGGGATTAGTATTTTTGCTCCTTTAAATGCACATAGACTTTACTAAAGTGAGGTTAATGCTGTCTCTGTGTGTGTGCGTGTGTACACATCACACTGTTTATATTCTTCAGATAAGTAATACAGTAAAGTGTTCTTGTGGTGCAGTTGTTTGGTGTCATAATGAAGGAAGGCTTTGCCTGGTATGAGGAAAAATAAAAAGAATAATGAAATATGTTAAATGGAATAATGTTTGGAAACTCAGATGAATATTGAGAGAGTTTTCTGTGTATATATGCACATTTTGGAGAAAATTTCAAAGAGTAGTAGAAACAAAAAATGTAAACATCTTATTTGCAATAACTGAGTGCCAATTACAAATGGCATAATTTTATTAATCTTCAATACTCAGCATTTGTATGTTTATTTAAATACTCTTTTATCATTAGTATCCAGAAATATTTGCATGAAGCTTCAGGGTGTCTTTGCTTCTGGGAAGATAAGTCAAAATAAACTGTTTTGGGAAACTTTCCATGTAATTGCATGTCCTTGTAAGAAATACATATGTATGGTATTAAATTTTTAGTTCTGATGAAAATATTCAAGTATGACATTTGCTCTAGTGGAAGTGTGCAAAATACTGTAAGTTACCAAATATTATTTTACTCAGTTTTTTGAATTTGTGAATGAGAGTATTATATCCACTCTCTTTTCATATCTATTGTTTTGTGCATGTAAATTGGTTTAAATCTTAATAAATCAGTTTTTAAAAAGTCAAATATTATATAACTACTGGAATAAAAGTTGGTAAAGAGAGTTTTTTAGAATAGACCTTGGATTTATAATTTGAAAATAGTTCTGTAGCTTTGAAAGCATCGCTCAGCGTAGTATTAACTGGTTTTGCACGTTTGTGTATTAAGTCTTCATTTCTATCTGAAGAATAAACTTAAAAATACAAAGCATATTGATTAAATGCACAGTGCTAGGGATCTTCTGGATTTTCAAACTGCTATTCTGCACTTTGTGTTCACTTTTAATTTATTTTTTTTTAGTGTTATCCATGCTCCATTACCAAGTCCCGTTGACAAGGTAATTCAGGAATTTGCTGTTTTCTGCCTTATTCAGCCACGTCCTTTTTTCTGACTTGTTACAAAGATGAAGAAATGCTGAAGTCCAGTTATATTTAGATATGTTTTCTACTGCCTGTTATTACCCACCTTAATATTTAGAGTGACATTTAAGGTAGTGATGGTAATGCCCTGTCACCGTGTATATTTTAAGGTAGCTTGACTTATTACAGTATGGCATCTGAAACATGGCTTTGAAAAAAAAAATCATTGATGTTAAGGTGGGTAAGTTTCCAGGTACAGTTTCACTGACTAACAGGTCTTGGGTATTGCATGATTTGATACTTGATCTGTTCTGTGGGACCCAAAAGTAACTCATGATTTGGTGTTTGGATGAGCTCTGTTGTCCTTGTATCTTGTTTTTTACGGAGAACAAGCTGCACTGCACAGGCTGGAAAGTGCCCTGACGTGTTTCAAAGTGCTCCAAGGGGAGATTGAGACCAAAAACTCTCTGCTCCTCTTCTACAGATACAGCCAGAGTCACTTGCTGTAGAGTCAGAGAGTCATTAATATCTAGTGTAACTTTTAAACTCAGTTTTGATAATGTGGGGGACTTGTAGAAAAGCTGTTAATAGATAAACTCTTGAGACAAGTGATCAGGAACTGATCATCTGTCTAGCCTCTAGAAAGGAGGATTGACTTAAATAGGTTCAAATAAGAGTTTTAAACATGAAGAATAAAATTTTGAGAAAGTAAGGAAACTTATTTGTGAAGTCAGCAGCCTGAGAAGTTCTTTAACTTTGCATTTTAGTTGAGATTTCAAAACAGTTTATGTAGCAAGGGCAGAAATTCCGAGGAGGCACTGCAGGTATACCTGTGTGAGAAACAGCTTCAAAATTATGTCAGTGTAGGAAGAGCCTAGAAGTATTAGTAAATAAACACATTTTCCACCTTCCCTACCCCAAGTCCAGAACAGTTTCTGCGACTGGAGAAAGTGTGAAGTCAGACTTACCAAAAACTTTAAGCCTGGCAGAGGCAGTGGCACCACATAGTAAAATTTTCTTTAATTGCATGTGAATAGAAATGAAGTAAGGTCATGGTGCTAATGTGCAGCAAGAACAGTTACAATTATAGATGTTGTAGGTATTTCCGAATTCTGAAACAGAAACTTATAAAGGGGAATGATGATGACTAGTAAGTCAACAGAAAACATGTGGTGAAATGTGTGTGTGTGGGATGATATTGAATTGGAATATGAGGGACTTTATTTTAAATTCTGGAAACCCTTGGTTTCTGTTTGTCCTTGGGTTAAATGGCTTCACCTTTGTGCACCTTGTTTCTTTTTCATCAGTTAAATCTCAGCTGAAACAAAAACCATGAACTTTTTGGTGCGTTGGCCATTCAAGAGCTTGTAATGACATTAACACAGCAGGGCCTCAGTCCAGAGTTGGAAAGTTACATGATTAAAAAAAAATAAATAGTAGCAGAACAATAAATGATTGAAAATGTCAGTTAGAGAATATTAAGTTACCTTCATCACTAGATTTAAATGATGAATTTTGCATTTTTTTGAGTTTAATTAAAAATCCAAACCCATTTTCATTCTTAAATTCCTTTAATTTTTAGGTTGCTGCTAACACTCCCAGTATGTATTCTCAGGAATTGTTTCAGCTTTCACAGTATCTTCAGGTAACTTTTCTCTTGGCAGCATTAGTTTCGCTAAATATTTAATCTTTCAAAACACAGATCTTATGCTCTACATATGTTTGTTTGGCTTGTGTTTTGTAAACCAGAACATGATAAGCATTTAACTACCTTTTCTGTAGTGAAATAATGTAAAACGTTATTGCCCAGAGAGGTGGTAGATGCCAGGTCTCTGGAAACATTCACTGTCAGATTGGACGGGTCTGTGAACAACCTGATGTGGTTGAAGATGTCCCTGCTCACTGAAGGGGGTTGGACCTTTAAAAATCCCTTCCAACCCAAACCATTCTATGATTCTGTGTTCTACATACACTTCAGGGGTTTTGTATGAGCAGTATCAACTGTGACTTTTATAAAAGAAACTTGAAAGCTCCCTGTTTTATAGAAGACTCGGTGAATGTGATATACCTGCTTTTCCCGTCCTTTCTCCCATCCTACCTCATTGTCCCCAACTGTCTTTTGCTTCTAATATTTTGGCATCATCCGCTGCTGTGGATATACTGTGTATGGATATAGAAGTTTTGTTAGAACAAAAGAATGGCAAAGCAAGAGGTCATTTCATGTGTCCAGAACTAGTTTGTTTCTGTGAATATAACTTCTTAGTTTGAATATTTTTGTCGCTGTATTTATTGGAAAGTATAAAGGAAGGGACAGTGCTGGCAGCTCTTTTTCCTCATTGACATCACCAACCTTTCTGTGCTTGCTTAAGTGTCAGTTTTAATAGATGTGTTTTTTACTAAGAGGACATGTCACAAAAAGGTTAGACTGCAAAATGGCAACACAGTAAAGTGTGGGCTGATATATATAAATAATCTCTTTAGAAAGGATCATAAAATCAGCTTTCTGGAAAATATGTAAAAACATTCTTACTAGTAAATTCTCTGTAACTTTAATTTATGTATAGTTTTACTGAATTATTTTGCCTGGTTTTGATAATGGCAATTTTTATTTGTTTACATCAGTGATGAGGCTTTTGAGATGAATACTAATGTTATATGTATCTGCAGACATAGCAGGAAGCAGCTCAGGCAGATGCTCTTTCTTGGGAGGCCAAATACAGACTTGTTCACCAATCTATTCATTCTCTGTATCTTGGAATTGTTGAAGAAGATGCTCTTATATCTTACTTCAGAAAACAAAAATCAAACAAAAATAGTAGTTCTTGGCTTGGCATTTTTCTTTTGTGACTTGATTTGAGGATGAACAACTCATCACGTGAGAGCTGCCAAGCTGCCTTTTGGTGTTTACAATTTTGTTACTCAAATTATTGACAAAAGTCAAAGTGTTTTTAAGTCTTGGAAGGAATTACTTGTTACTATGTGTACTCAGCATGTGCAACATATGCATGGAAAATGAAGGTTTTTAAGAACTCGAGATTATAGGATAACATTTTCTAATTAAAATATCAAAATAAGTGTATGGATGGATAAAATGAGATGGACTTAGTTTTGCGTATGTGACAATGTTTACTACCCACGCTTCCTTTTCTTTTTGTATTTTACTATCTCATGTTGCCTGTGTTTTTCTGAGTTGTTCTAGCTGAACTGACTGGTGCTCTGCTTTCTTCGTAGGAAGCCTTACATCGGGAACAAATGTTAGAACAGAAGCTGGCAACCCTTCAACGACTACTTGCTGTCACGCAAGAGGCTTCAGATACTAGTTGGCAGGTATCTGCAGGCATCCTTTTCCTTTATGGATTGAAATAGGCAGTAGTGTATAAATTTTAGCTCTTAATTTACAAACAATGGGGAAAAAAGCAGCAGAAAGAATAAAAAGCTTATGGTGGCTCTTTTAAACTGTGCAAAAGATAATGTTTAATAAATGTAGTGGTTATGTACCAGTTTGAAATAACTATGCCTAGTAAATACTCCAACAAAATTAAAGTCTTTAAAGCAGAACTGTACTGGAACTACATAAAGCACATGTTAATACTATGGTGATGCTTCTTTTCTGCTAGGCTTTAATAGACGAAGACAGGCTGCTATCAAGATTAGAGGTTATGGGAAATCAATTACAGGCATGTTCAAAGGTAAGAAGTTCACCTGAAGTTGAATGCTAGGAGTGCTGAAAGATAGGTCTTCTGAAGTGTTTTGAAATTGGCTAAAGGAAAACAGTTGGAACTAACTTTCTGAAATGAGCCTGTGCAGTTTGGGTAATCTGAGCAGCATGAAAACTGTAGGTCTGTTCTGTATTTCATGGAATCATTTTAAATCTAAATAGACAGCTGTTTTTCAGCCTTTTTTTTTTTTTTTAGCATGAACTGATTTCTTTTGTATGTACATACTGAAATGCAGAAAAGGAATTTCTGTCTTTGGTGAGAAGCAACCATTCTGTCTTCTTTCCTATGGATGTTTCCTTCCAAATAGAGATTTGAAAAAAGGCATTATCAATGAGCAGTCTGGTATTCAGAGATGGAGTAGCAAGTATGCCCTGCCTTGATTATTGTTGTTTAAGCCACATATACCTGCCTTAATTTTTTCTTTGTTGTATTTTATTTTTAATTCCTCAACTACCTACATTATAAGGACTTTTTTTGTAGGTCCTGTTTGAGATCTTTCAGATGGGACCTTGTAGGTTTCTAGTTGGTCAAATTGTATGTCTCCTAGGCTTGACATTGTCTTAGCAGTGTCCAAAAAACACCATGGTTTTCCTACAATCCAAGTTGATCATTGAATGTGTGCTGCCATACATACAGTTCTTACTGCAATCTAATATATTTAGTCAACAAAATACTAATTTATATTCTGTCTTTGTACCTGAATGACGTACAGAATCAAACAGAAGACAGTATACGAAAAGAGCTTATAGCATTACAAGAAGACAAACACAACTATGAGACAACAGCCAAAGAGTCCCTGAGGCGGGTCCTTCAGGAGAAGATTGAAGTGGTCAGAAAACTGTCTGAAGTGGAGGTATAGAAGTTTCATGCCTAGTTTTCTGGGAATGCTGAAATAATTACAGCTGCTGCTACTTAGATCCCTGTTTTGTTTCCTGTAATATGCCAGTATTTGTTGTACTCTGGTACTTGGAGTATATTAAGCCTTAATGTTTATTTCTCCAGTTAGACAATACATAGAGTTGTTAAACAGTTGATGAGAAACAATTCAAAGTTCATGAAGCTGTCTTACAGAAGTTAGTATGTGTGGGAAATAAGTGAGGGGAAAATGACATACGTACATTAGGAAAGATGCTGTTAGACCTTGTTTAAACTGAAAAATTTATGGAAACATTGGCTTAACCATTCATACAAATTACACTTAAGAATGAGCTTTTAAGATTACAAAGGGTTGAACACTTTTTTCAAATAAGATTTCTGCCTCTATGATATCTATCTTTCATTACTATCTTTTCCTTTATTTTCTCTTTCCAGTATCATTATTTGCTGTGTTCCCTTAGGTCAAGGAATATTGTAAGACTGAAAACTAAGCACTAAAAGTTTCTACCCTCTTTATGCTTTTTAGAGAATGTGATCTGTATAGTGCTGTAATAAATAGCCTTATGAGATTTCAGTTAAATACACTTTATTATATTGTAATAGTTCTTGACAGGTTTATTAATGGTTGGAGTTTTAGGTTTACTTCTAGCTTTCCTCTCCTTTCCAGTCCTATACTAAGAGAAGAATCTTCTGACTTATTTATTATACATTTTCCTCTTTACTTTGACTGTTGGGGCAGAAATACTAATTTAACTTTAATAAGAGATTTGCTAGAGTGCTTCCTGCCACATAGTTTTCTCTCCACACAGAAGAATTGTTTGCTCTTGGTTGAAAGTTGTCCTTTTATAATTATTATACAATGTAGTTTTGAATGCACTTTTGTTTAAAGATGTTTTGGTCTGTTTCGGTGGTAAAGAACTAAGATCTGGTACAAAAAAGGTAAAAAAATTGTATGAATGAAGAAACAAACTTTGAGCAAACAAAAATGAGGAAGAAACTATACACCATTTAGCTGTGCTGCTGTCATGAGCTGATGCAAACTTCTGGAGCATTCTTTGCCTCCTGAAGACCCAGCTGCCTGTTGAGTAAGAAGATCTTAGTTCAGATGCTTTCCCACATTATGGAGTTCAGAAAAAGATTTAGAACACTCTCTTAGAGCCATTTGGCTTATATAATGTGTTAAATCTTCTTTTACTTGGTGAAAATTATGATAAAATCTGCTCATTACCTTGCACCACAAAATATTATAGAACTTGCACAGTTTATGGGAGATGGATCACACGTTTCATTCTTTATTCCTATTAATCACAATTAATTGTATGACCTCCTGTGGGTTTTTTTCACTCATGCATGAAGCTAATATCTTTTCACATAATCTGTTCTTTAAGTACAACATTACAAAGGTTTATATAAATCATGTTTTTGCCAGAACTTGATCTGTTTGTTTAGCCTTAATGATTAGGCTACATGTGATTAGTTACATATAACATTTGGAAAAAATAGATCAACTTCAGTGTTTGGCAGACAGTCTCTATTTTTTTAATTTATTACATAATAATTCTGTCTTACAGCGGAGTTTAAGTAATACAGAAGATGAATGTACTCACCTGAAAGAAATGAATGAACGGACTCAGGAAGAATTAAGAGAATTAGCTAATAAGTACAATGGAGCTGTAAATGAAATTAAAGATCTTTCTGACAAGCTAAAGGTAATGACAGAACTTCATCTGACTTATAATGATTCTATAATGCATGGAACAAATAAATGCAATTTAATTTCTAATGTAGCAGTCAAATAAAAGTTAAGAAACCTTTTAAACAACAGGTAGATGAAAAAAGGATACACATAATCTCTTACATATACTTTTGGTTTGCATTTAATGTACTTGAAAGTATCATCACTTAAGTAAATTGCTGAAAAGGTTCCCTTTTTGTTCACTTTGAAAATTATCATATTTTTGGAGCTGCAGTATATCATAATATAAAATTATGTATAGTATAAAATTTTATATTCATCTGCTTTTATAGACAACAAAATTTAAACTTAAACATCTTACAGTTAATGGGAATGAAAACTAGAATTAAATTTGCATTTCACGTTGCCTCTTTGTGCAGTTACAAACATAACTAACCTACCACATAGTAATAATATGACTCATTTTCCGGGGAGAAGGAGCACGCTGTCAGGTTTGTTTATTAAACTAAATGTCTAAGTATATTAATATTTAAGGGTCTTTTAAGCTGGAGAACAAAATAATCACAGTACAATAAATCCTGTTCCGACAGTCTCCAATCTAGACAAGTAGAAGATGTGGAGGAGGAAGGTGGTAGTGTTCTCTTTGTAGACCTGAGACAGTTGTTATATTTGTCTTGGATAAATACTGGAATTTGAACTTAGGTTCTTTGAGTCCTGGTTCAGCACTTCAGAAGATTTTTCTTTCCAAATTAAAATATTAAATTATTAGTTTTAAGGTCATTGGTTTCCCAAGTATGAGTTAATCACTGATGATGATGAGTATATGCAGAAGGATCAAAATTGAAACTTATTACCCAGCTTTGAGGGAGGACAGTCTTTGAAACTTGTTGTAATGAAATCCAGCAAGGAAGATGATGTGACTTTCAATCAAGTGGGCTTGGGTACTGTTCCTGTAAAACTTAAGTTCCTCAGAGAAAAAGTTAGTTAAGATATTTCGAGAGTCTCTCTGTTACTGTACTATACAGCATTGGTTGCATTTGCTTTACCTGACCAGCAAAGAAAGTTACTTATGTACAATTTAGTTATACAAAAATCAAGGAAATCATTCCTCTACATGTTAATTTTTATTTGTTTGGGGATCTTTAATTTTTTTTTTTTGAGCAGGTAGCAGAGGGAAGACAAGAAGAAATCCAACAGAAAGGACTGGCTGAGAAAAAAGAATTGCAGCATAAAATAGATGAAATGGAAGAGAGAGAGCAAGAGCTTCAAGCAAAAATAGAAGCTCTGCAGGCTGATAATGACTTCACCAATGAGCGGCTAACTGCTTTACAAGGTTAGTGACTAGTGGGGAAGAAACTTTGATTATTTATTTTTCATTTAATCTGTGAAATATCTTTTTCTTGGACTTCTGTTTACAGTACGGTTAGAACATCTTCAAGAGAAAACTCTTAAAGAACACAACAGCTTAGGTAGGTGTAATCAGTTTCTTGTTTCAAGATGGTTTCCAGATTTTTCTGTTCAGTTACTTTTATTATAATAATCTTGTAGTCTAGCTGTCTGGCAAAATCAATAGAGTTTTACAGTTAATCTCAGTAATGCATTCTTCTTGGTATCACTTGTTGCCATTGTAAGACATGTGGCCACAACAGAATGACAGTAGAGGGCACTGCTGTTGTGAGTGTTCAGATTTCTGGGTCATTCCTCAATTTAGAACTCTGTGCCCCCTCAGCACCAAGATTTCAAAGGTTTTTGTATACATAAATATATATATATACAAGGTTTTTATATATATATATATATCTGTGTGTGTATATATATACACACACATATATAATAAAAAATAATTCTTTGGATAATAGTAACCTCTTCCATGTTTGGACACAATCTGTAGTGTGGGAAAGCACATTAAATTTTGCCTGTTTTCATTGGATTAGATACTCAGAAGGAGGAGGTAGTGTGAAAAGCCAGATACATTTCACGGTGCGGCATTTATAAAGAAATAAAACCCAAAATATTTTGCTTGGTTCCAGAAATAATACCCTTTCTTAATCCTAGGCATACAAGTTGATGACTTCATACCTAAAATTAATGGGAGCACAGAGAAAGGTAGTGTATCTTAAGGCTACCTTTTGTCTTATGGTTGATGTTTGAAGATGAACAAATTCAAAATGTTCTCTAAAGTTTTACTTTGAATAATATTCTCTTAAAAAATGAAATTGAATTTGTCCACTCCTCTGACCAGCATTTCTTTGCTTAGACTTTCAGTTTAGGTGTTTTTAGAAAGGTCTGTAAAACATAATGAGGCAACTTGGAAGTCGTCGTCGTCATCTTCTTTTTTTTTTCTTTTTTTTTTTCGCTTGTTTTTGGGCTCTCACTGGAATCGGTGGGAGTCTACTGAATGATGCCAGGCTTCTGACACAGGAAAGTGGAAAACTCATTTACTTTTTTCCTCCTAATTTTATTTTCCCTTGCAACACAGACATATACCATTTTTGTGGTAAATTGGGTATGGTAAGTAAATTCAACAAAACATACTTTTTTTCTAACTATAAAGTATGAAAAATGTGAGTTTATGAACAATATAAAAAGTGACAACTAACTTTTTAAAACTCGAAAGTGTCTTTATGTAAAACAGGAATGAATACAAATTAAACTAACTGATGGGGTTTTTTTGAAGACCAATTAGTTAAGGCTGAGTACTTGGACTAATGTGTCTTCATATACACTTGAAATTTTTTGAATAAGATTGTCTGATAAGACCATGCCCAATATCAGATATAGCAAAGATTATACCAGTTTTAATTCTAAGTTCACTAAATTGTTCTGTTGGCTAAAATATATTTGTCCTCTTACATTAAGTTTAAATTTTTCCTTGATGTGGCTTTCTTCAGCATTTGCTGCGTAGCAAAAGATCTGAGGAATGGTGGTAGTATTAGTTGGAAGGTTGGGGCGCTTATATAGAGAACTCATGGTTTTAACTGATATTCACAGTGTTTAAGGATTACTATATACATTTTTGAAACAGTTTTTTAAAACTCTATGCTCTAATTCTTTTTCCCCTTTTTTGTATTATAAGTGAAGATCTTAACTAGGGAGACTGATAGCAAAATAAAGGAAGTTAATCATGGCATAACCTCACATCTATTTCTTATTTGCAGCAGGAGGAGAGATCTGTTAACTAATAACAGAAACTGTACAAAACCCTCCCCTTAATCTAAGTCCTAGTTATCCCTTAATGTCTTAGCATTTTAGACACTTAGCTACGATGCACACTGAGATTAGCAAGCAGGAGACTTAATGTCTGTTCAGAGTTCTCTGGACTGTTATCTTTGTTTTAGAAAGATAGATCCACCTCGCTAGTGCGTAATTTTCAGTTGGTAATAATCTTAATGCTTGATAGAATGGTTAAGAAATAAATTTGCTTTTAGTTTGTTTTTTTTTGTTTTTAAATCTTGCACCTCAGAAAATAGTTAACAACTTTACAAAGCAAAACTGAGTTCCTATATAGGAACTGTGATTCTTCATTCTAATTATGTAAAACGTGAAAGTTCAGTTATTGGAGGTTATTAGAAAAACATGCAATACCGTGAACAAAAGTAGCCTGTAGCTAGACTGAAACATTTAGTAAAAGCTTTCAAGCTTTGAGTGCAAAAATATTGTTTTAGAGAAGTAATTGATAACATCACTAAATATATATATATATGGGTTTTTTTTAACAAATGCTTTTTGTTTTAAAATTCTTGGCAGGAATGTCGTGTTAGTTTTTAAAATACTGCTAGCTTCTATCACTCCAAGTTTAAAAGTTGTCTGAAATATTTCAATTTTTAATTAATTATTATGTGATTATAACAAACATTGTATCACTGATACTCACTTTTTTGTCAAAGTTGAAGAAGCAATCCCTTTCTTACTTATTTTGGATTGCGTAAGAGTTCAAATGTCATGTGGATGGATGCATGAAAATTCAGATTCTTCCATCCTATAAGTAACAGCAGAACTTGTGCTTAAACTTGGGAGTTTTTGGAAGCTGCCTATCAATTTCTTTTTCTTTATGAGTATAGGCAACATATAACAGCTCATTCAAGTTGGCTTTCTGTGTGTTTATACAGTCTGTCACCCTTCTCTGTCATGCGTCTGCCGTGCTATTTCAGAATTCTGTACTTTAGCGTAGTTCCGCAATACTCCGTCTGTTGTACCACGTTCTTCTCCATCTCTGCTATACCCGGTCCATCCACATTTCTCTGACATTTTAGAGCTTACTGGCCTGTGTTCTCCTCATGACAGTCTGTGCCTTTCTGTATCTTCCTGTCCTTTATCCAGCCCTCACATAATGGCAGATGGGCAGTCATTTTCTCTGCCAGATTTGGTATTTTGTTCTCATGAAAGCAGCAGGAGGTAGTTGCTGTTTTTCTTGCATTATTTCAGAAGAGCTAGGAATTTAGGGGTTATAATGTAGATTCAGCAACTTTGTCAGTGAAAGAGGTTATAGATATTTTGCATAAGGGAAAGACTTCACAGTTGAAGGCAGAAATCAGAAATTCACAATGTTGGGTTTTGTGCTAAATAGCCTGTAAGGTAGTTAAAAAAAAAGTCTCCTCTATTTGTATACAAAGATATATGTACTTCCCCCTCTGCCCCCCATCAGAGGAAAATGGTGGTAAAGCCATGTGAAATCACTATTCTTTTAAAGATTCTTTTTGTTTCTCTGTCTCTCAAAACTTCAAGTCAAGTCCTCAGGGTATGTGTACAGGCATACTACCTAGCTGTTGCAAGAATAAGGATTTTAAATTTCTTTTTTCTGTGGCTGTTCATAACATTAAAAGAGCAGAGGATCTAAGAACTCATGTTATAGTCTTTCTTGGAGTCTTTTTATAACAAAGTGTGTTAAGATGATGATGGTTAGGCATGCATTTTCTCTCATTGCACGTATGGAAATTCTGGTGCAGAAGAGAGTAACTTGCTTATACGTCAAGCCACTGAAAAAAGTTGTGTAGAGCTGAGATATTTCAATAAGTGGTGTGTTTCTCAGTGAATTGCACCACACCTGGCTTTCATATTTAAGTTCTGTGGGATGTATATCATATAAAGAAAGATAAGAGAAATTTCTGTACAGTCACTTAGACAATCATGTGAAAAAGCCCACAAAGTTTAAATGTGGACAATAAATGTTATAGCTATGCTGCTGTCTTTTAAAAGCCCTGTCTTTGTGGGTTAGAAAAAAGTTTACTTTTTAGAGTAACTTTGGAATATAGTAAAACTTATTTGATCTTAACAGCTTCTGTTACCAGAAGCTAATGATTGAGAAATTTTGTTAGTGTGACATATTTTGCTGGTTTGTGTACTAAAAAGCAACCTTTTCAGATTGTTAGACTCAAGGTCAAAGGGGTTTTGAGGTTCTTCAGAAAGGAAATGTTGGCATCTTTTTACTTGAAGATGCAAGGTTCTGATGGAGTTGGGAGCTGAAGAAGGTCTTGGGTAAACCTGGAAAATGAGCCCAATTTTAGGATCTCTACTGTAGAACTGTCCTTCTTTCAAAAATTATTGTTTCAGTGCAGTGAAACTTTATTTAAAAAGTAAATGGAGATATTCAGCAACACTTTCAAAATAAATGCTTTTGTATTTCAAGATATGATATGAAGAATAAACGTGAAGACTAAAAAAACCCCTTAGTTAATACCCTTTTAAAGCAAATAAAATGCTGAAGAATATAGGTCAAATACATGTTTCTTATTTCTTCAATGCTTGGATTTGGTATTTGCAATTATCCATGTCTGATTATGAGTTAACAAATGGGAGGAACTAGAGACATTGGTGCTATGGAGTTGCATGTTTCAGTGTATCATATATGTTCTAAATTTACTGTGATTTGAATATCACTTATGTGCATTAATCTTTTTGCCAAAATTATAATGATGTCAATAGAAATTCAGGGGAAGTCATTTCTTACCACCCAACCTGAAAGATCAGTACAGCAAATGCCAAATGCAGAATGTTTGGACTTTTCATAATTCATTTTTACTAAATTTTATTAAATAAAATTTGTTTTAAAAATAGCTTCTATTGGGGTAAGGGACTTAATATGCTTACGAACTGCTATTAGTTTTTTTTATTTAAAAGTACCCTTTGAAAATGCAGTTAAAGTACTTCTTTCTTCTGATCAGTTCAAAAGAGTAATCTGTTTTCTAATATCACTCAGACATCATTTCAGTTGTCTTGTCTGCTTGCATATTAACTCAGATTTCCGAAGTTCACTGTGAATACATAATTACAAATATTGTTAATATGCCTTTCAAATTTTTTGTTGCATCAATTTGAAAATGATAAGAAGATGTAAACTTAAGTGTTTCTTTCTTTACTAGAGCACTTTCTTTCAAAGAGTGGAGGGGACTGCACTTTTATTCATCAGTTCATAAAAAGTCAGAGTGAGTACAAGAGTGTTCATCACATTTGCTTTAAAAACAACAGAAAACTCAGAAAAGGTGGATAAAAATCAGAATTTGTCACTACTATGTAATATTTCTGTAATAGCAGAAATTTTCTAAGCATAGAATTGTGACATTTTGATATTAAGCGGATGCCTGTGGTAGTAAAAGGATATCTTTGCTCTTGCAAAGTGACAATCGCATTGTCTCTTCTTAGCAGTTCATCCATTATTGTCCTCCAACCACTAAAAGGGTGGTAATGTTGCCACATGATGTTTAAAACTGAGTGTAATTTTTCGCCTGTTACAAAGAAGTTGAAAGTCTAACGCTGTCGTTTATGCAAATATCACAGGCAGCAGTAGGACAGAGATAAAGTCATGATGCCTTTTCTTCATTTCACATGTTTATAATTTTTCTGATAATTAAAGGTCTTGCACATTGTACAATTAGTTGTTACAAAGAACAAAAGGGAAAATAAGACCTGAATTTTTATATGGAAATCTAAGAGATTCTTTTAAGAAAATTAGAACAAATATGCAATACCAATCTTTAGAAAGATGTGTTATTCTGGAATGAGAAATGTGTTTCAAAGCAAATGGCTTCTGAAAATTAGTAATGAAACAGTGCAGTCTGCATATCTATAATTAAAGAAAAACTTAAGATATTAATACTTTTTGTCCTCTGGGAGAAAAATATCATTAGGATGAAGAGAGAAAAGTGCTATCAAAATTCAACAAAAAATTATTTGTTTCATATAGAACTCTAAGGGAATTATTTTTTGACTTAAGAGTTTACGGAAATTATGTACCTAAAGTTGAGCAGAGAGAAGTATTTATAAGCGGAAATAAGACAGTATATTTCTTGACATTATGCCTGCTAGACTCTTCTTCTCCCTTTTAAATTTCAACAAGGAAGTGTAACAGACTTGTTTGAGTTAGTCCTTGTGATATTGATTGTGGTGCTGTAAACTGGATGACAGGATACTGCTAATGTTTGTCTAAGGAAATGTGAACTTTATTTGAAAAGATATTTTCAAAAGTGAATGACTGGTAGCTGTCAGACTGAATTTTAAAATAATTTTAAATTCTTGTATGAATCTTCTTTATTCAGTAGATAAAAATGAACTGAAGTTAAATGTTTGAGTAAAACTTTTGTCTAGAGTGAAAATGAAGAGCACACTGAGTGATGTTCAAATACAAATTGCTTGCCTGTTTTCATTGTTTGGATGTTAGCTTAACCTGTTTTAGCAAAACTTGTATTAGTATCACCTCTATCTACTGAGAAGCAAAAGTGACCATCAGGATTTAGTAAAAGTAGTAATGAGAGTAAAATAAAGATCAACTTACTTATGCCTCACCTTTCTTGAGAGATTGAAAGCTAGAGTAAAGACACTGTAAGGACCCATGCCTCATTTTTGAAAGAATGGATCCAAGTTCAAAAGGTTCAGTATTCTGCATTTTTTGTGACCGTGTAAGTTTTTACTGTCTAATCAAGTATAAAAGAGATTCCAGGTCAGCAGCTCATGTATTTTTCCTGGAATTAAAGTTTGCCTTTCCCAAATTCAAATATGTTTAGCCAGGCCTCACAAAATCATGAGGTTAAAAAGCTGTAAACTGTGGGATCTATTATTTTCATTTTGCATGTAAGTGCTGCCCTTCAGTCCTCCTCCTGCTCTTTGCTCTCTGCAGCACTGAGGGTTGAGAACTAGTGGGGATAAAAGTTATAGTTTCAGAGAGTGGCAGAAACTGGAGCTTTAAGACATATGTGGAACAA